AAATGTTATAGTATTTTTCAAAAATTAGGTACAAGGCGTGCTCATGAATATTCATCAGGTTAACGGAAAAGTCAGACAAGTTCATAGACATGAGGCGATACAATTCAATAAAAGAATTAAACAAAAAGTGTGCAGTTGATGTTTATCTCTCTCCACCTCTCTCTCTCTCTCTCTCTCTCTCTCTCTCTCTCTCTCTATATATATATATATATATATATATATAAATATGCAAATCAGTATTTAAATTATTTTGGCTTGGGATTGATTTATGTCTTATAAATTTTGTAAAAAACAATAACATTTGCCTTGATAATGTCCCTCAGAGAATGAAATTCATCGGCTGAGTTTTCCTTTTGTCTTTATATATATATATATATATATATATATGTGTGTGTGTGTGTATATATATATATATATGTGTGTATGGGTGCGCATATATATATATGTATCTCTCTCTTTCTCTCTCTCTATATATATCTGTGTGTGTGCATATATATATATGTATCTCTCTCTCTTCTATCTATCTATCTATCTATCTATCTATCTATCTATCTATATATCTCTCTCTCTCTCTCTCTCTTCAATTTCCCTCTTACTTCCTCCTGCCCTCTTTTCTCCTCACATCTCTATTCCTTTCTGTTTAATATTTGGATGCAAGTTTCTCACTCATATATTATAACTGATTTTAGTTGAGAAAGGTAGAGGATTGATCATTTACTCCATTGATCACAGGTAGGCAAGAGTAAACTTCGTGAATACAAATAAGCAGAATAATTGCATAGATACATGGTCAGAAATCGTAACTAATTTTAGCACAGAAGGGCCGGCTATCTGTCAGATACTACACTCTGATCCTACGTACAAAAGCGTAAAGACGGTATATTGTCCAACAAATTGTTTATACAAATACTTTCATAAATAAAGCCATAAGAGCCACTCAAGGTAGAGGGCTACTGAATGAGCTTGTTGTCAGGACGTAAAAGTAGGAAGTAAGAAGTGTATAGTATGAAGATATGCAGGATAGATAACACTTGGTTCTAAGACATTAAGATCATATTGATCGGGAAAGTAATTTCACTGAGTGGAATTTAATCTTTTCCATTGAAATACGAAAGGAATGAAAATGATTCAATCCTGTGTGCGTGGCACGGTGTGCCCTCCCTGTGAAGGACAAAACTGGAGGACCTAAGGAATGTAACTCGTCTGGACTTTTGTCATGAAAATGGCGATGGTTAATTAACCTAAATAAAAACGAAAGAAAGCTGAATCAATAATTAGAAACTTGCCAAAATAAAACTGGCTGAAGAAGACTATCGTTGCATTCATCACGCTAACACATTAAACTTGTTTCGAAGAACTACACAAAAGCAGAAACCTCGAAAGTATTAGCAATGCGCTGAAGAGATGAAACCATTTAGAACACAACATAATTAAAATCGTTTAAGATATCCATGAGGAGAAGGTGTCCTAAGAAGATGTCGACGAGAAGAAGATGTCCTTGAGGAGAAGAGACCCTAAGAAGATATCCGCGAGGTGAATGTACCCTAAGAAGATGTCCATGAGAATAAGGTGCCCTAAGAGGGTGTCCCTGAGGAGATCATGCCCTAAAAAGATCTCCAGTAGGGGGAGATGTCCCAAGAAGATGTCTCTGAGGAGAAGATGCCCTAAGAAGATGTGCATAACAAGTAGGTGCCCTAAAAAGATGTCCATGAGGAGAAGGTGTCCTAAGAAGATGTCGATGAGAAGATGATGTCCCTGTGGAGAAGAGACCCTAAGAAGATATCCACGAGGAGAATGTATCCTAAGAAGATGTCCCTGAAGAGACCATGCCCTAAAAAGATCTCCAGTATGGGGAGGTGTCCTAAGAAGATGTATCTAAAGAGAAGATGCCCTAAGAAAATGTCCATAAGAAGTAGGTGCCCTAACAAGATGTCCATGACAAGGTGTCCTAAGAAGATGTCAATGAGAAGATGTCCCCGTGGAGAAGAGACCCTAAGAAGATGTACATGAGGAGAATGTACCCTAAGAAGATGTCAATGAGGAGAATGTACCCTAAGAAGATGTCCATGAGGAGAAGGTGTCATAAGAAGATGTCGATGAGAAGAAGATGTCCTTGAGGAGAAGAGACCCTAAGAAGATATCCCCGAGGAGAATGTACCCTAAGAAGATGTCCATGAGGATAAGGTGCCCTAAGAAGATGTCCCTGAGGAGATCATGCCCTAAAAAGATCTCCAGTAGAGGGAGGTGTCCTAAGAAGATGTATCTGAGGAGAAGATGCCTTAAGATGATGTCCATAACAAGTAGGTGCCCTAACAAGATGTCCATGAGGGGAAGGTGTCCTAAGCAGATGTCGATGAGAAAATGATGTCCCTGTGGACAAGAGACCCTAAGAAGATGTCCTTGAGAAGAATGTACCATAAGAAGATGTCCCTGAGGAGATCATGCCCTAAAAAGATCTGCAGTAGGGGGAAGTGTCCTAAGAAGATGTTTCTGAGGAGAAGATGCCCTAAGAAGATGTCCATAAGAAGTAGGTGCCCTAAGAAGATGTCCATGAAGAGAAGGTACCCTAAGAAGATGTCCATGAAGAGAAGGTACCCTAAAAAGATGTCTATGAATAGAAGGTACCCTAAGAAGAGCTGATGTTACTTGATCTGCAGTTATAACAACCAAAATGGCCTACGGGCACATCACGTTGAAACACTGATTCCAGTACGACCTCTGAAGTTAAGCCGCGTTGTGATTATTCATTACCTTGTTGGGTAACCGCTTGGGAATATCAGGTGCTATAAGCTTGGATGTGTGTGTGGTGTAATGGATAAACCGCTCGGAATTGTTAATCGATGAGTCGTGTTCCAATTCCAGTCGGGTTCATTATTTTCACTTATGTGCAATTACCCTTGGGAAAAGGTATGAATCCACCTCTTTTCCCACCTCGCTACACGTAAGGCATGTTTCATTAAATTGCGTCCTGATTAAGACGATAAACTACATCCGAAAGCCTGACTCAGGGTGGTAGCACCTGTTAGGGCCCCAGCCATGAGCAAATAGTGAGTCCCCAAACAAATCAATATGAAAGTATAAAAAATACATTTTAGTAGTAAAAATAGCAGCAATATATTTTTATATAAAAATAGACCGACAATATACAATATTAACGTTACATTTTATCTGTAATTGAAAGTATAAATTGTGTTCAAAATATATTTAGTTGAAATCATACAATTATCTAGATTTCGGCATTAAATGACCCATGGGGTTGAAATGCGGTTAAACAACAACAACCAAAAAATTCTTGAATCAAACGGTATTCCAAAATATTCTGTTAGGGTTCCAACTATGGGAAAATAGTGACCTCCCCAAAGAAAACACTATGAAATAGTAAAAATGTCATCAATATATATATATATATATATATATATATATATATATATATATATATATATATATATCCTCAATACATTTACCTGTAGTTGAAGGCATACAACTGCGTTCAAAATTTTTGTTAAAGCCATTAAATTATGTTCAAAATATTTTAGATTTCGGAATTAAATAACCCATAGAGTTTGATAGACAAAACCATTCAACCAAATCACTAAATCATTATCTCCCTCACTAAAAATAAAAAAAATAATCTTACAATCTAAAAATATTTTCTGGCTTAAAATAACTTGTAAAGGGTTGATTAGTCATAAAAAAACAAACCAAATAATTATCAAACAAAAAAAAAAGTATGCAAAAATTTAAAAGAAATAATTGGAATAAAATATAAAATATTGAAGCGAATGGTATCACTCGTCTTCAGTAAAAGCCACCATATAAAACTGATGGGAAATAAAAAATTAATGACTGTACAAAATAATCGTGACGACGGAAGAGAGATGATGTCACTTGACTGTCATGGCGAAATACTACTGCTTTTAAATTTCAAATAGTGTAGATACAGAAGATTCGGTATCAAGCGTGTTGTTATTGCTGCAGTCGTCAGTGGATTGTTGAATTTTCGTCTAGCAAGAGAGAGAAAAACATTCTATTGATCAATAATACTGAGACGTTTATTTTTTCGCATCTTCTGTAAGTAGCTGCTTTTACTGCAGCCTAGCGATGAGGGATGTTGACGACTCACTATTATGTCTGTGTGTACCGGTGCCTGCCGTCGGAGATGCATATATTGTTGCAAGTATGCATGCGTGTGTACGTTCTCCGGTAGCTATTTTCCGTGATGAAGATGCTCTCTCTCTTTCTTTCTCTCTCTCTCTCTCTCCCTATTTCTCGTTCACTCTCAACCACATATACTCTCTCTCTCCCCACTATTTCTTGTTCTATTTTATTTTCTCCTTCTTGCGTTTTTACTTTTCTCTTTCCTCCTTTCCCTCTCTAATTTTTCTAGCTCAGTTGCTCTCTCGCTGGTTCTTTCATTGCATCTCAAATCAGAGAAATCGATGAATTCTGCAAGAGTTATTACCGCTTAATTCAGCATCATCTTTGAGTCGGGTTCCGTAGTGTAGTGGTTATCACGGTCGCTTCACACGCGATAGGTCCTGGGTTCGATCCCCAGCGGAACCTGGAGGACTCTTTTTTTCCATTTTAATTCTTTTTACCTTTTCTCCCTAAAATATCTATTCAAATCCAGTTGATTCCATAGGTTCTAAAAATTTAATATTTAAATATTTAACAATAGAAACCTAAATTCAAAAGAAATTAACTTTCTTCTTATTCTCATTTAATAGCCAGTGTCTATGAGTTCGATCCGAATTGTCTGCTTCTCTCTTGTTGCTCAGTGCTCGGACAGACGATACTTCAATGGTGAGAATTACTATTTCATAACATAGTGACTAGATTAAGTACACACGAAAATGAGTATTGATTATCAGATTGATAATGCAGATTATTGTTAGCGTGTTCGAACTGCACTGGGACCCCTTTTCTGTTGCAGATTTGTAACAGATTTCTAAGTGTAGCTTGGTTTGGTATGAGATCACGACAGTCAATTGAACTAAAACAGATTTAATATAAAGTAGATAGATAGATAGATAATGTGCAGACTGAAATAGATAGATAGATAGATAGATAGATAGATAATGTGCAGACAGAAATAGATAGATACATTGTAAAGAGAGAGAGAGAGAGAGAGAGAGAGAGAGAGAGAGATGTGCGCGCACGTACACATATACATACATACTAAAATATTTATAAGATATATTTAGGCTGCAAGTATTAATTCAAATAAGTTTGGTTAAAAAGAACCAACGAGTTATGTCTGTTTAATTTTTTATCGTGTTTTTTTTCCTATTTTCGAAAAAGGTCTTGAGTACTGTGCGGAAAATGATGTATAAAATATCCGAAGTTCATATGGAATTATTGATTTGTTCAAGTACTTTCGACTATCACAGTCATTTTCAAGAATCAATGTGTGGTCTGTGTGGCAGGCAGAATTCATTTGTCTACAATTTCGCGTACAATATTCATATAACTTACTCGAAAATGGAAAAAAAAATAAAGACAGATCCCGTTGATTCTTTTAAGCCAAATTTTTGGGATGAATACTTGCTGTCTAAATATAACTTATAAATGCATACGCACACACACGCACACACACACGCACACACACACAGCCACACACACATCAGAATGTCTGCTCAGCAGGTTCGATGTAAGGGTCATGTGCTCTCACCTGAATCTATGATACGCCCCCCCTCACACTAGTACATCTCCATTTCCATAAGGTGGCATTCATATAAAATACAAATTTTATTTTAAACTAATGATGTACAATAATGAATCATATGCAACACAGGTGAAGAATTCAATTAGAAAAATTGAAAATAAATGCAAACTAAGGAAATGTTATAATAAACCATTGCATCTTAAATAAATGTTTTGCGACAATTTTTAACATCATTCGAGAATTTTCTTATTAAATAATTGAATAGTTTAACATATTCCACAATATGGATAGAAAATAGTGAATTTTATATCGTGTTTTTTAGGATTTGGTCGAAAAAATACCTCAGAATGCCGTCAAACTCCACAAAAAGATTTCCTCCTTTAATGGTTGTGATTAGTTTAATTTGTAACGGATATAAATGTAGGTAGAAAAAAAAAAGATAATCGAAGGTAACAAAGTACTGACCGGGTACCCCAGTCAAGCTTACCCCACCCCGGTTGGGGGTTTTGGGGATAGTATCTATCGGTACTGCTTCTCACCATAATTACTATAAAAACTATAGGTTGTCTCTGTTACTGTTAAAAATAAGAAAAAAACATATTCCGTACAATTACATGAAACCTCGTTGCGGTCTGGAAAGGGAGTGCATGTCCTGATCAGATGATTTGCTTTCATATTGGTCATCATGTCTACAATGGCGAGCGTCAATTAGTTTTTGGTATTGTGGGCCGCTGTTACCTCTTCTTCTCCACTGTGAAAAGATTTTCCAGAATTTACTGTCATGCAGTAGGTGACCTATTGGGAGAACAGGAAAATGTGGAAAGGAAGAGTATCTTGATAGAATAGGTACAGCTATCTCTGGGTCTGACTACTCGATCCAGGGCATGACGTGTTTAAAACAGCGATGTAGGTGGTATCATTGGCGCTGAAGATCTACAGGAATATGTCTTTAATGATATGGACTTAGTTTCCATCACTGTGAAGATATTTGTTCCATCTATTCCCCTCCTGCTCTCTCTCGAGTAGTTTGTAACACATTATTTATCATCTCTCAGTTGCGTCTCTGTCTTTGGGCAGTGTGCGTTCAGGGGCGGCTCCGTCAAAGGACAGAGGCGCAAGAGGAAAATTATACTGAGAAGTGCCCAGTCCTGGGGAACATCTGCCCGAGGCCGCGCCCTCTCAATGCACCAGAGAGAGGGATCGGTGCTCGCACCGAGGCCAGTGCAACCGACGGTTGCGGGAGCTGTGGGCAATTTTTGTTCCTAGCCCGGGCGTACGCGCTCGGACTCTCCACATTAAACTGACCGTGTGTCACAACCTGACCTCATTTTGTAGGTTTGAGTAAATACAAATCGCTCTCTCGAGTAGTTTGTAAGACGTTTATTTATCATCTCTCAGTTGCGTCTCTGTCTTCGGGCAGAATGCGCTCAGGGGCTGTTCCGTTGAAGGACAGATTCGCAACTAAGGAAAATTATACTGAGAAGTGCCGAACCTGGGGAACGCCCTCGGGTCCTCACCTTAAAAAAAGACCTTGTATCACAACGCGTCTTAGTAGGGAGACAGAGTAAATACACCTAGTTCTGGAGATGGGACGAAACATGCTTCATTGAGATGCTTGACCTGTTTGGCGATGGCCGTCATCGACAAGCTGGACTCGTGGCTAATGATGTTGCACGATTGTAGGACTTGAGAATTAGGGGCTATTAGAATGTGGAAGAGCTAGGCATATTATACGATGTTAAAGATTTGGAATACAGAAAATTAACGAGGCAAGAACAAAAGTAACAGATTTAATCTCCTGTCAGCCCATCCACCTGCAGACAGAAAGAGGAGTTCAGATTCACAAAGGGTCCATTGAACGGGACTTGAGTCAGAAAATATGACATTTTTTTGAAACTAACTTTTCTAATTTATGTATATGAGAAAATGTTTTGATTCTAACAATTTAAGTATTAGTCAAATATTTGATATAATGTGGCCATTATCAAGTTCACTCACTCTCTCTCTGTTTATGTGATGATTGCAAGCGTGAAACACAGGATTACAAACTCATATCCATACAACTGAATATATATATATATATATATATATATATATATATTTGCTCTGGATTTACAATGAGCTCTCTGGATTTTATCCTACTTAGGTTTACCCATACTAGATTACCTAGTTTTTCATAATATATATATATATATATATATATATATATATATATATATATATATATCAAGTTCAGGAAAATAATTGTGAACATTCTTCAATTTTTCATTTTTAAAGTTTTATATATTGTTACGGACCCCGATCTAAATTTATTATAAAAACTATACCATTGCTTATATTTTAGAAGCATTTTAAAATAAAGAGCCCAGTACTTGCAGAAAATGTAAAGATAGTAAACCTAAAGAGATAGGTAGACTTAGTGGCGATAAGGATTGACCAGAGTGTACCCTTTCCTTCTCTTTTGGTCAAGGTGTTGACAGCATGATTTACGCGGATAGATTCCGGTTGGGAGGAGTTGAAACATTTTTAACTAAACTTTCTCTGACCTTGAAGATGAGAGAGAGGGTCGATGACCTAATTCCAACTATAATGGGAAAAAGTTAGTATTTTGAAAATTGACCACTGTGACGTCCCTACACAGCCTTCGCTCGCTCTTCGCTGCTTCGTTCGGGTGTCGCCGCTCCAAACGTGACGTCCGCCTGTCTGCGTCAGTCGTGTTGTTCCGTCCTGTGACGACCAACTGGCTTGGTATTGGTCGCGGCACCCAAATGTGACGTTCTAACCTTTAGGTGATTCGGATGGGAATCTGGTCAGATCCGATATCAGCCTCGTCGTTCCCAACTCGCTTCCAACGTCTGGTTACCAAAGTAACTGCGTTGATCTCCAGTCCGCCTACCCACGTTGTGAATTGATCTTAGGCAGACGAAATCAATCAGTCGTTGGGGCCGTAATGCAAGTTGAGTTCAAATGAGGGTGCTTCCAAAATGGTGTCACACCACGTGACAAGAAGAAAACGGAAACGAATATTGAAACGGAAAAGTTAGTTTTGGCCGAGGCCTGCGGGCCGGTAGGACGTCTGGCAAATGTTTCGGCATATGGGCCGAAAAAATGTGTTTGCGAAATGTTTAATGTACCTTTTTTCATATTTGTACTTTCATGAAAATTTAGCATGGGATCTTTTTATTACATGTTTCTTTCCACTTGTCTTAAAATTTTGATGAATTGTGAATCCGTGCAGATATAGCACATGTTCTGTAAATTCGTGGGAGTATGGCACAGGACCATATGTTGATTTTTATTTTACCTTTTTTAGAGGATGCTCTTCTCCCACTATTTTGTCCACAATGTTTAAATGTTTATTCTTGACATATCGTCATTTTTTTTTTGGCCGTGTTTTTTATTTTATTTTTATCTTTTCCACGATTCCATGTTTGTTAATAAATTTATATTTCCTGTCTCCATTGTTGTTTGTCGCCTATCGTGTTTGTTCCTTAATCGATTCCACCCGGCCGTGTTTGATCAATCGGAAAGAGACCCTTGGGAAAGAATATATTTTACAAAAAAACATGTAAAATGTTAAAAAACAAAATAACACAGATTACGATCCCCCTCTACCTTCGCTATCGATAAGGTTGGAGAAAGGAAGGAGGGGGGCCGTAATAATATATATATATATATATATATATATATATATATATATATATTATGAAAAGATTACATAACTGTTAAATATCAATTTTATCCCGACATCGATGTTTCTTAGTAAAATTTTCAGTATTCACGGGTTGTGATTTTGCAACGGCATTTTTTCAATATGATATTTACTCCGTTAAATCTTATATATATATATATATATATATATATATATATATATATATATATATATATATATTAAATAAATGTTATTCAAATTGTATTACGTAAGAACAATAACGAACTCAAATTTGACTTTTACAGAAAAGCTACCAACAAGAATGACCTTGTCAACTTTTGTTCTCACCACTCTAATAACATTAAATCTGGTACAATTATAGGTTTCTACCTGAGAACAGTTAGGACCTGTACCCACTCTAATACCCACACAAAGAAAAGACACACATAGAAAACACATTAAAAACTCCAATATCTTTATCAATTCATCCATAACATAAAGCGGAAGGCATACAAAATACACGAAAACAACAAAGACAACAACATTATCAACAACAATAAACTAGACAAAAACTTACATGATGCTACATACCAGCTCCATAAAATCTACTTTCCGAAAAAAACTTATCCCATCTAAAAAACATCAAAATATTTACAACCATTATGGATATGATCACAAGCAAAAGCACCTATAAAAATAATAATTCAGAAGCAGGCACATATAAAATAAATTGATAAAACTGTTCCTCACAGTACATTGGGAGAAACAATCAGATATTAAAAAAAAAGTATCTATGAACACAAGGGGGGGGGCTTTATACATAAGAATTTATCAAGTGCAATAGTCATACACAAAA